TAAGTTAATATAGTTGGCCGTGGTGGCGCGTGCCTGTAATTCCAGCTACTCGGGAGCTGAGGCAGGAGAATCACTTGAATCTGCCGGGTGGCGGAGGTTGCTAAAGGTGACAGCAAGAGATCTATTGGCCTACTGCACTCCAGCCTGGGTGACAGAGTGAGCCTGGTCTAAAAAAAAAAAAAAAAATAGCTGGACATAGTGGCGCATGCCTGTAATCCCAGCTACTCAGAGAGGCTGAGGCCAGAGAATCTCTGAAACCCGGGAGGTGGAGGTTGCAGTGAGCTGAGATCATCGCCACTGCACTCCAGCCTGGGCAAACAGAAGCAGATTCTGTCTCAAAAAAAAACAGGTGTTTTTGTCAACAATGGACCCACATTTACTATGGGTCTCCTAAAATTATAATGGAGTTGAAAGGTCCTAGGTATGCCATAACAGGTTGTATACATGTAGTGCAACTCGTTGCGCTTTTATGTCTAGATACAAAAATACTTTTCCATTGTGTTACAACTGCGGCCTACATAAGTACCTGCGAGTGCGGGTACGCATGTTTAGACAGTTGTGATCTCAGACTCCACTGTCAATGGCCACACAGTCCTAAAATTATAATGGAGTTGAAAAATCTCCTAGGTATGCCATAACAGTTGTAACATTGTAGTGCAACTCGTTGCCTTTTTATGTCTAGATACACAAATACTTTCCATTGTGTTACAACTGCCTACAATATCCAGTACAGTAACATGCTGCACAGGTTTGTAGCCCAGGAGCAATAGGCTACACCATATCACCTAGCTGTGCAGTAGGCTCTACCATCTAGGTTTCCGTAAGTGTAACCTATGATGTTTGCACAAGGATGAAATTGCCTAAGGCTAGGCGCAGTGGCTCAAACCTGTAATCCCAGCACTTTGGGAAGCTGAGGCAGGCGGATCACCTGAGGTCAGGAGTTCAAGACCAACCTAGCCAACATAGTGAAACCTTGTCTCTACTAAAAATGCAAACATTAGCCCAGTGCAGTGGCACATGCCTGTAATCCCAGCTACTGGGGAGGCTGAGGCAAAAGAATCGCTTGAACTTGGGAGGCAGAGATTGCAGTAAGCTGAGATCGTGCCGGTGCACTCCAGCTCGGGGGTAACATAGGAAGACTGTGTCTCAAAAAAAAAAAAAAAAAGAAAAGAAAAAGAAAAAGAAATTGCCTTACGATTAATTTCTCGGAATGTATCCTTGGTGTATTTGTACCCTAATAATATATACCATAGCTCTTGCTGCTTCTCTCAAACCGACTTGCTGGTGGGACACACACACTTTGCCACGGCTGTGCCTTTCTTTTCCGCCTCTGCCTCCAAAAGGAAGGCTTCCTTTTTTAACATGAAACACATCCTGTCCTTTGTATTAAATGTGAATGTGCTGAAGCAAAGCTGCTAGATGGAGATCAAGACTTTTCTGAGCACCCTGAATTGGGGAGCTTGTGCCCAACAGGATATGGTCTGTCACCACACAGCAGAAAGGAAAGGTCAGGTTTCTATAAAACTCAGAGTGGGGCAGAGGTGTGAGAAACTGTTGGGAAGGTCTCTAAGAGCCCGGCCGAGGCAGCGCAGGAAGGGCAAGTGTAGGGCTGAAGGCAAGAGGGCACTTCAGGTGGGTGCAGGCGCAGGGGCAGGCCAGACTGGACGCAGAGCAAGGCATCCCACACACTGGGCTGAAAGCCTGTAACGTTGCTGTGGGACAGAGTTTGCTGCTATTGCTTTTTTTTTTTTTTTTTTTTTTTTGAGACAGTCTCGCTCTGTCACCCAGGCTGGAGTTCATTGGTGCAATCTGGGCTCACCACAACCTCCACCTCCCAGGTTCAAGCGATTCTCCTGCCTCAGCCTCCCAAGTAGCTGGATTACAGGCATGCACAACCACATCTAGCTAATTTGTTGTTGTTGTTTGTTTGTTTGTTTGTTTTGAGATAGAGTTTCACTCTTGTTGCCCAGGCTGGAGTGCAATATTGAGATCTCTGCCACCCAAGTTCAAGCAATTCTCCTGTCTCAGCTTCCCGAGTAGCTGGGATTACAGGCATGCACCACCACGCCTGGCTAATTTTGTATTTTTAGTAGAGACAGGGTTTCTCCACATTGGTCAGGCTGGTCTCGAACTCCCGGACTCAGGTGATCTGCCCGCCATGGCCTCCCAAAGTGCTAGGATTACAGGTGTGAGCCACCACACCTGGCTGCTGTTGCTTCTGATGTATTAAGTTGTTAGGGGAAGGAACGAGGGAGATCAAGCAGTGTCATTGTCTTTTCAAGTCACACGTACGTTTCCTTTTCTATCCACAGGGAAATATTTACAATAAGAGCTTACAGTTATATGTACCCATGTCAGGCATCGTTGTATGTTGCTGTTGTTTTAAGGTGGTTTTCTTGCATCATCTTAAGTACTTTATATGTATTTACATTTATTTAATCCTCACAATAATTATATTGTTACCCCGATTTTCATCAACAAAGACATCAATAAGTGAAATACTTTGTTCCTGTCAATCTCCAAGTGAGCAGCAGAACCAGGAATCAGACCCAGACAGTTTGGCTGCAGAGCCCATGCCTATGCCGTATATGGCATGCCTCTCCAAGCACTGGGGAAAGTTGAGTGGTTTACTTCGATCTGAAAACAGGCTTAGGCTGCACATGGTGGCTCATGCCTGTAATTCCAGCACTTTAGGAGGCTGAGTGCTGGGATTACGGACATGGATGGGAGGATGGCTTGAATCCAGAAGTTCAAGACCAGCCTGGGCAACATAGCGAGACTCCATCTCTACCCAAAAAAAATTTTAAATGAAAATAAAATAAAATTTTAAAAATGAAAAGAGGCTTAGAACTAGATTTTAAGGTGAGAAAACAGAAGCACAGAGAGAAGGGTTTCGGGTGGGAGGCACAGAGGAAAACTGGCATACTTAGGGAAAAATAAACCCCTAAGATTTATGGAGGACTCCCTGTGTGCTGGGCACTACCAAGCCCTGGTCACAACTCTACTACAGGGAGGTGCTATGGTTCGCATCCCCATTTTAAAGAGTGAAAAGCTACAGGTTCCAGAGACGTGAAGCGGCTTGCCTCAGTGACTCAGGTAGGAAGTGGTCGACCTGAGATGTGAACCCAGGCAGTTTGACACTGCAGTCCCTGTTTTTAGTCATCAGGCTGATGGGGGGTGGACTGCTGGGGCCATTTCTGTGCGGCTGGTCTGGCTGCTGCGTGCAAGGTGCAGGCCCCTCTGCTGCTCTGCTTACTTTTGCTTTTTGTTTGTTTGTTTTGAGACAGGGTCTCACTCTGTTGCCCAGGCTGGAGGGGAGCGGTGTGAACGTAGCTCACTGCAGCCTCGACCTCCCAGGCTCAAGCAATCCTCCTGCTTCAGCCTCCTGAGTAGCTGGGACCACAGGCGTGTGCCACCACGTGCAGCTAATGTTTGTATTTTTTTTTTTTTTTTGCAGAAATGAGGTCTCTCTATGTTGCCCAGGCCAGTCTTGAACTCCTGAGCTCAAGCGATCCTCCTGCCTTAGCCTCTCTAAGTGTTGGGATTACAGGCGTGAGCCACCTCGCCTGGCCAGCTTGCTCCTTATTACTAAAACCAGGGAGTATGGCTTAACTTGAACCCCCAGTGCCAACCACACAGCCTGTGTTTGCTGAAGGAAGTCTGGGTGGAAAGACCCCACCTGCCTCCTGGAACACTGATGTCCCTTCCATCGGCTTGTGCACAGGCACCATCTTCCTTCACGTTTACTCACCTGCCCCAGGACAGCCGAATCTGTTTTCTTCATTCCCACCATGAAGGGGCCCTCACTCCATGTCTTCCTGAGTGATCCAGCTCTCCTTCCTAGAGCCCCCTTAGGCTAACTTGTTCTGCTGCAATCTCTGTAAGCATTACCAGAGGCCAACCACTAACTATTAGAGAAAGCAATGCAAATGCCTTTGCCCCATGTAGGAGAGGTGAGGTTTAAGTTGGGGTTTTAAGTGTAAATTTCCAAAATGGGAGATAGTAAGAACATTCCAAGGAGAAGAGCTTGAGCAAACTCATGAGACTATGAAAGAGCCAGAGGTGTGCAGGGCAGAGCTAGTGGATCTGGGTGATGGGGGCAAGGGACATCGGAGGGAGGGGAGCTGAAGCAGCAAAGGTTGTGTGGGACCATCTTTTATTTGTTTATTTTGAATAGGGACGGGGTCTCACTATGTTGCCCCAGCTGGTCTGGAACTCCTGGGCTCAAGCGATCCTCCTGCCCCAGACTCCCAAAGTTCTGGGATAACAGGCATGAGCCACTGCACCCAGCCAAATAATGTCCATTATTATTTCCCTGAGAAATGTGCCTGGCCAAACAGAGCTCTCTGCAGTAGGACAGGGCACAACTGGGGACAGTTTCAGGGCTGTTTTTCACCCACAGGCTCTCTCTCCAGACAGGAAGGATCCACCAAGTACTTCAACTTTACAACCTCTGATGAGAAGAAAATGAAAGAGGCTGAGCATCGATACCGCGTGAGAGTCTAGGGAGTATCCCTGTCTGCCTTCCACAGTGTGGATAAAGTTGGAAGTTGGTGGAGAAGACGGAGAGGAGCTTGGGGTAGGGCCAGGAGGGAAGTGGCATTTGGGAGGCTCCAGAGACCACAATAACACTCTGCCTTGATTTCCTGCAGGTGAATAACCTCAGCCAGCGAGATCTGTCCATCAGCATTACCTTCTGGGTTCCTGTCCTGCTGAACCGGGTGGCCGTGTGGGATGTGGTCGTGGAGGCCCCATCCCAGGTACCTGCCTGCCTCTCCTCTTTCTTCAGACTGGCATCCCACAGCACGGCACTGCCTCTTACCAGGGACATGTTGCTCATTCTGTGGCTAACTGCTTCTCTCTCTCCCCAGAGTCTCCCCTGTGTATCAGAGAGAAAACCTCCCCAGCATTCTGACTTCCTGACCCAGATTTCAAGAAGTCCCGTCCTGGTAAGAACCCCCACCGCAAGATCAGCCCCCACCAGGGATACCGAGAAATGTACCGCTAGGCCGCAGAGTTCCTTGCATGTCCTGTAACTGTTCATCTGTTCCCCACCCCAAACCTGACCATATTTTTACCTATGGTTCCCTCCTCAGTGAAGAACCCCTCAGCTTCACCCCTCTTCTGCCCCCAGGACTGCTCCATTGCTGGCTGCCTGCGGTTCCGCTGTGACATCCCCTCCTTCAGCGTCCAGGAGGAGCTGGATTTCACCCTGAAGGGCAACCTCAGTTTCGGCTGGGTCCGCCAGGTGCGTGAGGGCAGTGGCAGAGCACCTGCCCCGGACTCAGGCAGGACCTGGCATGTCTGTGCCCATCTGCAAGCCAGGGCATCCCTGGAGTTCTGAGCCTCCCCCAGAGCCAGTTTCACCGGCTTCCCCTAACCCCTTTGCAGACATCGCAGAAGAAGGTGTCGGTTGTGAGTGTGGCTGAAATTACGTTCGACACATCCGTGTACTCCCAGCTTCCAGGACAGGAGGCATTTATGAGAGCTCAGGTAGAGACCATGTTGGGAGCAGCGACCAGGCTAGAAAGAGGGCCCCTAGGGCTACATCCACGGTGCTGGGTGGGGGTTTGCAAGCCTTGGGGGAGGAGGGTGAAGGTCTCTGGGCAAGACAGCTGTCCCTCAGGGCACGGGTGCTGCTGCGTCTCAACCCTTAGAGCAGAGCCTCAGGGAGGAGGGGAGGGAGTTAAAGGTTGGGGAACCTGGGAGGCATCCGGGATGGCAGGAGGCCAGACGCTCTCTGATCTCCGAATCAGATGGAGATGGTGCTAGAAGAATACGAGGTCTACAACGCCATTCCCATCATCATGGGCAGCTCTGTGGGGGCTCTGCTACTGCTGGCGCTCATCACAGCCGCACTGTACAAGGCAAGTGTTTTATCCCACTCTTTTTTTTTTTTTTTTAACGAGTTTTCACTCTGTTGCCCAGGCTGGAGTGCAATGGTGTGATCTGGCTACTGCCAATCTCCACCTCCCGGTTCAAGTGATTCTCCTGCCTCAGCCTCCCGAGTAGCTCCGGATCTTACAAGGTGGGCTGCACCCATGCTCCTGGCAGTTTTTTGGTAAATTTTTAGCTAGAGATGCCAGCTTCACCTGTTTTGGCCAAGGCTGGCTCTCAACTCCTTCGACCTCAGGTGATCCGCCTGCCCTCAGGCCCTCCCAAAGTTCTGGGATTACAGGCGTGAGTCACCACATCCGGCCTTATCCCACTCTTGACACCACCAGCATCCAACCCAAGCCCTTCTACAGACTGGGTGGTATAGTGAGAACTCAGACTGTGGAGGCAGGCAGGCCTGGACACACATTTTGGTTCTATCATGTACTCACTGTTTAATGTTAGGCAAGTTGCTCCACCTCTCTGAGCGTGTTTCTCTCTCTCTCTTTTTTTTTTTTCTTTTTTCTTTTGAGGTGGAGTCTCACTCAGTTGCTCAGACTGGAGTGCAGTGGCACAGTCTCAGCTCACTGCAACCTCCACCTCCCAGGTTCAAAAGATTCTCATGCCTCAGTTTCCCAAGTAGCTAGGACCATAGGCACACGCCACCACACCTGGCTAATTTTTGTATTTTTAGTAGAGACAGGGTTTCACCATGTTGGCCAGATTGGTCTTGAACTCCTGACCTCATGTGATCTGCCCACCTCGGCCTCCCCAAGTGCCGGGTTTACAGGCGTGAGCCACTGTGCCCCGCCGTTTCTCATTTTTGAAATGATAATAATGCTTATATCACAGAGTGGCTGAAGTGAGAGAGAAATGAGGCCAGGGCATGTGCACAGATCTGCCTGGATCTATGCTGTCCTGCCACAGGTCGTGTGTGTACCTACTGTGCTTGGGGCCAGCAGTTGCTCAATATATGATAGCTGTTGTTCACATAAAGGTTCTCACACACAAATGTAAGTTAGCTTAGTTGTTGCCTCCTCTCCTCTCTCAGCTTCTTCTTATTCCCAATTTTCTTCCCGGCCCTCTTACCCAGATTTTCTTTCTTTCTTTTTTTTTCTTTTTCTTTTCTTTTTTTCTCTTCTCCTTTCTTCTTCTTTTATATGGAGCCTTGCTCTGTCGCCCAGGCTGGAGTGCAGTGACATGATCCTGGCTCACTGCAACCTCCATTTCCCGGGTTCAAGCGATTCTCTTGCCTCAGCCTCCTGAGTACCTGGGATTATAGGCGCACCACCATGCCCAGCTAATTTTTGTATTTTTAGTAGAGACAGGGTTTCACCAGGTTGGTTAGGCTGGTCTCCAGCTCCTGACCTCAAGTGACCCACCTTCCTCAGCTTCCCAAAGTGCTGGGATTAGAGGTGTGAGCCACCACACCCGGCCTTACCCAGCTTTTCTCACTTATTTCCCCTGATAGCTTGGCTTCTTCAAACGCCACTACAAGGAAATGCTGGAGGACAAGCTTGAAGAAACTGCCACATTCAGCGGGGAAGGTTTCAGCTGTGGGGCCCCAAATGTGCCTTTGTCCTAATAATCCACTTTCCTGTTTATCTCTGCCCCTGTGGGCTGGTCTTGCTTGCAACCATAAATCAACTTACATGGAAACAACTTCTGCATAGATCTGCACTGGCCTGAGCAACCTACCAGATGCTAAGCACCTTCCGAGAGAGGTAGGGATTGTAATATTTTTGCATATCTGTCCACCTTTTTTAGTGATGACCCACTTTTTACAGAAACAGGCATGGTGCCAGCATAAATTTTCATGTGCATAAGAATTGTCACACGAAACGAGGATGTTTATAGCACACTTTCCTTGCATGGAAGAGCTATAACCCAGGAACCTGAGTGCCTCTCTGGCAATAGTTGGGGGAACCTGTTTGTGGGCATTGAAAAAGTTTTCTCACTTTCTATGGTGATGGGAGCCTGAGGTCATCTTTTCTTGATGGGGCTGAGAGGTGTCTCAGGGGAGAGAGTCAAAGAGTGTGTGTGTGCGCGCGTGCGTGCGCATGCACGTGCACGCAGGATGCATTGGTCATGGGTTTCTGCACACACTTCAGGTTCCTCCGTAATGGTAAGTGGGCAGGCTGTCCTAGGAGGTGAAGAAATGTCCAGAGCTCATCTGAACTCCTGTCCCCCTTGAATGGGGTATTCAGAAGCCAGGAAAGCCAGGCTTGGAGCATGTGATTTCCCAAATAGAAGACCCATTAAGAAAGATTATAGAGAATGACCAAAAGATTCCAAATCCAGCATTAGGTCCCGAGGCCTCACACACAGGACTGTGGAGCCTCCGTCTGAAATCCAGATAGCTGGGGTTCACAGACACCAGCCGCTCAGGTGTCAGGCAAGAAGTGGGACTTCAGGATCTGCAGCCCTGGGCTCCCAGGGGGGCTCTGCAAGCTGCCTGAACTTGGACAAGTCATTTAATTCCCGAGAATCTCAGGTCCTCCTCTGGAGAAGGGGAACTAAAATTATACCCTACTCCCAGCGTTACTGTGAGGATTCAGTGTATGAGGAAGCCCATTACAGCCTACAGCCCTAATTTTTAATAGGTGTGCGTAAGACAGAGGCCTCATTATGACGAGGTGAGAGAGAGTGAGCTGGGATCGCCTACCTCTGCGTGGAGGAGGCTCCCTCAAGCACCCCAGTATCAGCCACGTGGGAAAAGCACGTGGAGCGCCCACCGCGCAAGGCGCATGAGCGGAACAGGGGCTTACCAAGCTGGGCGCAGGCACGGAGGGGGCGCCTCCGGGTGCATTCCCAGTGGCCCCGCCCTCCCCATAGAGCCTCAGACACGAAGCTTCACACCTTTATTGCGCCCGGGGGCGTCCGGGGCCTCAGGGGTGTTCGTAGCCAGTGGGCAGAGGGTTGACGTGGCTGTTGTGGAACAGAGTGTGGTTACCGTCCCCCCAGGGGAAGGGCTGTGGAGAGAGCGGAGGAGGGAGCGCGCGTGAGCGCCGTGAGTCCGGAGTCCGCGCCTCCCCCGCCTCCCCCGCCACGCGCCCCACGCTCCCCACGCTCCCCATGCACCCCGCAGCACCCCCGGGCCGCCCGCGCGCCCGTCCCGCGTACCTTGGTGCGGATGCGGAGGTGCTGGTAGGGACGGAACTCGGGGCGCGGGCGGTGGCCTGAGTGGAGATAGGAGTTGAGGGTGCAGAGGGCCACGCTGGGCAGCGCCAGCACGAAGGAGAGCAGGCGCCAGGTGCGAGCTGCGGATGGAGAGGGGTGAGCGCGCAGGGCCTGGGGCGGCGGGTCCGGGAACAAGTGGGCAGGGTAGGGGAGCCCCGGGATCCGCCCGCTCCCCATTCACCTGCCGACCCTTCGTGGCCTCCTTTGGCAGCGCTGGCCAAGCCCCGGGTCAGGGGTCTCAGAGGCAGAGCCATGGCGGTGCGGGGAGCGGGGAACCAGCGCTGTCCTCGCTCCCTTTACCGTGGCCTGGGGTCCCCTCCCCTCTCTGGGCCAATCACCTGTTGAGTCTGGCGCACGAGCGGCTATTTTTAGAGGTTTCTATATTTACAATGGGTCCTGACTAGCTTGAGATCGTCTCCAGACAGCTGTTGTCCTGTGCCTCTTATTTTGGCAAAGGGGCATTTAAAGTACAATATGCCATTCTTTTTATATAGTTGCAGGGAAACTATTTTGTTCCCTATTCTATGCCTGGTGGCTGGCACACGGTTGGGCTTTAATAAATATTTGTAGAATGAATGAAGTGTCTTTTTGAGTCTCAGTTTTTTCAGCTGTAAAATGTATAATTCGTACCTGAAAAGATTTTTTAAATAATGGAGGCGGGGGGATCTCACTATATTGTCCAAGCTGGTATCTTAGCTGTTGTGTCCAGACGTATCTCAGCTGTTGGTGGTGAAGGAGGTGAAGGCATGACTCAGGGTCAGTTTCTTCCTGGAATGCTGCATACTGTGACCACATTTTCTAAAGCAAAGATTGATTACAACATGTGATCTACTAAGTATAAATGTTTATGGGGGGCCTAGGGACAGTGTATTTGAAATTGGAATTGTCCTGGAAAAACTGTCCTGGTGTGGAACTCTTGAGCTCAGGTGATCCTCCCGCAGTGCTGGGATTACAGGCATGAGCCACCGCACCCTGCCCTTACATGATTTTTATGAAGTTTATGTAAGGTAGGAATGTGTCAACCTGGATTTTGTCAGGTAACAGTAGTTCAGTATATGTATTAGTCACAGTTCTTTGCAAAGAACAGAACTCACTCTCACTAGTTTTAAAAGATAGGTAATTGAGAATCTTAGGTAGCTCACTATGTCTGGTATAGCCAGAGAGGCCTACAGTCTCCACAGTCAGAAACAAGTCATTCCATTGGCCAGCTGCAGTGACACCCCCACAGCTCACACTGCTGGAGCCTGGATGCCAAAAGCTTCATTAAGGCTGCCCTGGAAAGCCAGAATCTTCCAGTCTCATCCCCTCTTGAAAACGGATTATTCATGTAACCTGTATCCTGGGTCGCTCTTTTCTGAAAAAGAATTATGTGATTGTACCAACTGGCAACCCCTAGGTGCCCCAGCTGCAGGAGGGGTTGGGAAACTGAGCTCTGGATTCTGCCTTAGGGAGGCAGGAATTGTAGGGAAAATCTCCAGGTCTAGGATGAGTATTCAAAAGGTTCCAGGCAGCCACAAGCCTGACAGGTATCTATTGCAAAGTGCATTATTTCAATCTGAAAAATACGACTGCTTGGAGAAAGAAAGCCTACACAGGGCCGGTGTGAACCCTTTATCAAAGCAGGTCACGAGAAAGCCACAAGACCAGGCAGGGATGACATCTGCCTGTTCTGTCCTCAGCACCCAGCATGGGCCTTGGCATGAAGTAGGTGTTCTAAAAATATGTATGTAATGAATGCTTGAACCTTGTTACTTTGGTTAACCCTACAGCAATGCCTTTTCAGAATTACAATCCAATAGGAAGGTTCCAGCTTTCATCAAGGGCTGATGTACTAATATGAACTTAATATATAAAAGAAAAATGAATTATATAGACATATAATCTGAATTTAATATACAAAAGAAAAACGAGGAAGGTACACTTTCAAGAAGGGGCTCTATACCCGTTTCTTGTTGGTAATAAACCGAAGAGTAGGTTCCACCCAACTTTAGCTGCTGCTGCTACTTTGTTGAAAAATTACCTCCTTGAGCAGTCAAATGTTATACAGTGTTACAAAAATTATTCCTGAGCTCTCACTGAGCTATAACAGAATTCTTCCTACAGTTGTTTTCCCAACTGGACTTTGGCATTGTTGCAGAGAAGATGGGGCCCTATTCCAGTTAAAGATACCTGGCATCTCCCTCTACACATAGCGCCCTCCCTACATATATAAGACAATGGCTCCTGGAGAAAACAGATATGAAGACAGGTATTTTTACTTGAAAAAGTTCTAGAGGCCGGGCATGATGGCCCACGCTTGTAATCCCAGCACTTTGGGAGGCCGAGGCGGGCGGATCACTTGAGGGTGTGTTGCCTGTGTCCAGCTACTGGGGAGGCTGAGCACGGAGAATTGCATGAGTCCAGGAGGGGTGGGGCAGTGGGAGCCAGTGATGTGGCCACTGCACTTTCAACCCTGAGGTGACAGAGTAAGGGACTGTCTACAAAAAAAAAAAAAGGGAAGGGAAGGAAGGAAAGAAAAGCGTTCTGGCCCTCAGACCGTTTTCAGGTGGGGTTGCCCAACACAATGTTCCTGGGAATTACATCCCTTTCGTTCTCAGCTTGGGAGTCCTATGGAGAGGGTTTCCTTGCTTGGAGACATTGAGATTGCAGGCTGGAGGAGGGACCTACTCACTGGTCCGGGCTGTCAGGTAGTCTGTGCTTTTCTGGGCTGTCACCTCTGTACGCTGCCCTCTCTAGAGGGTGCGAGCTGTCTCTCAGGCTGTGCAGCTCACATTGTTTTTTGTACAGGTTCTCACTCACACAGTTCATTAACTGATGCTGCTGCCACACTTCAGTTTCTCTAGAGGTTTATTTATTTTTCTCCACTTGTAGGCTCGAGGAAGAACAACTCCACAGGTGCTAGAAT